AAATGCCCCGAAAACACCGGGTCAGACATCGGCACAAATGGTCCAGCTGTTATGGCTCTGGCCATCTTAGCTCAGCGGTAGAGCAAGGGGATCGTAGACTCCAAGGTCGCGAATTCAATTCTCGCAGGTGGCTGAACTTTTGGCCTTTTGGCTCAAGCCGAGTCAAGCAAGTCAAGCCATCCCCTCGGACCTCTCAAGCAAGTCAAGCCCACGGTTTTGAGGCCTCAAGTCAAGCCAAGTCCAGGCTCCAGACTTGCTTGACTTGCTTGTGGCCACCTCTGCTACAGTAAGGTATCTGTTCTCATGCCCTCGTGCTCCCTTGAGATTCCGATACTGGACATCAATGACGATTCGGGGCTTTCCATCGTCGGCCTTGATGTATCTGACGGTGAGGTCCTTGTAGAAGACGCCTTCGTTTACGCCTTTGTGGGCCGATGACTCGACGATGGAGCCAGGACGTATTCCTTGGAACAAAAGGATGAGCAAGAGGCAGGATAGTTGCAGCCGCATCCTAGGATGCATGGCTCCGATGTCGCGTGTCCACAAGAATTTCACTAGGTCGAGGACTACTGGTGTAGTAGCCACAGGACGAGGTCGAGCTTTCTTGCTTGCGCCCTCGGCGACACAATCCTCGTAGATGTACGCTTTCAGATTCTTCTTAGTAGAGGGATCAAGCTGTTTGTTATGTCGATGACGAATGAGGCCGGCAATTGTCTGGATGTATTTCCACAGCGAGGCGATGCAAAGCTTGTCCTCTAACTGACCCTTCTTCGTGTCTATACAGTATGAGCAAAATGAACGAAGTGTGTCACACGTTGGCATGGTCGCAAAGGGATCATTCTCGTCGATGGGCTGTTCGATTTCGTTATGGAAGTCAACCCAGGCCTTTGTGACAGATTTCTGGGTTTTCGCGTATGGCAAAGAGAGCTTCGCGGGCTTAAGCGGCCGGACGACCTCACCCCGTGCGAGGGCCCGCAGGTACGCACGTCTTTCATCGGTGCTTTGACTGGTCATGTTGGTTGCCATCAAAGAAGAGAGAGAAAGATGATGAAGAGGGAAGAGAGTATGAGTCGGATGTGTCGTGCAAGTAGAGGATTGATAAGTTCGAAAGGAACCGATGGCGAGCCTAGAGAGGCAGCAGCATGCGCCGCCGCCGCCATCTTGGGGACGCGGTCCTGTCGGCGATGAGAGGAGTTGTGCATGATGGGTCTACTCCAAGTCTTGAGTTATGAAATGCTGGCTGGCACGGCTAGTCGTAGAGTCTGTGAACAGTGTTCCTGAAGTCACACTGTGGGCATCAGGAATGCGCGAGACACTAGCACGGCAAGTGTCAGAAGTCGAGTTCTGGGATTCGGACCTTGCCGTGCGCGGAGCCGAGATTTCGGTAGTGGTTCGAGGATTTTTCGGCAGGGTCGGGTAGTATAGTGGTAAAATTAGCCGTTGCCAAGATATTGCCCAAAGTGGTAATTTCGCACGTCGTCTAGCCCCGGGTTCGATTCCCGGCCGACGCACATTTTTGCTGCCTTGAACTCTGTTTTGCTTGTACACCCAGACAACTGAGGTTTAATTCCTCACCGACTCCATTTTTTTACGTCCATCATAGTATATTTATATTTCTTTTTTCTATTCTTCAACAATATTCAACTTGTTGCGTTAAGTTTCAAAGTAGTCTAAAAGTTTCAAGGGAATAGTAAGCTATTATCAAGATCTAAGATTT